TTTACTTGACTCTCTATGAAGCCGTTTCCTCGAGGATAATGAGGGGAGCTGGTTAAATGTTGAAATCCATATTCTTTGGCAAATTCTGTGAAGGCGAAGCTGTCATAATGAGGGCCGTTATCCGATCGAACAGTGGTCGGTATTCCGTGTTCGCTGAATATCTGTTTCATCATGTTGATGATGGTTCTGCTATTACTCTGTCCCTTAGGTATCTTCCTAACAAATGAGTATTTCGAGTAATAATCGGCTATTAAAAGATAATCAGAGCCGAGTAAGTGAAATAAGTCAGTTCCAATGGTGTGCCATGGTCGTGGTGGTATCTCTGTTGGTATCAAAGGTTGTTTTGCATTAGATGTCTGGTGCTTCTGACAGGTTGTGCATGTTTGCGTGATTTTATCAATGTCACTGTTAAGGTTTCTCCAGTAGACTGCGGTCCTGGCTCTGAGTTTCGTTTTCTCAGTCCCCTGGTGTGCTGCATGTAGCTTCTCTAGAATCTCATCCTGTAGCGTCGAGGGAATGATTATTCTTTGACCTTTCGTTAGGATGCCGTCATCAATTCCAAGTTCGTCCCTAAATGACCAGTACGGCTTTAGGATCTTTGGAACTTCCTTGATGGTTGATGGCCAACCTTCAAAGATAACTTGTTTGAGAACTGCTAGTTCTTGATCGGTGACTGTGTTTTCACGAATCTTGTCGATCATGTTTCTACTGAACTGAGGGTAGACCTCGTGTATTTGAACCTCCATGTCGTCTATTGGGTCTTTATCKTCAGGTGAGAGAYGTGACAGTGCGTCTGCTATAAGCATGTCCTTGCCTGGTATATATTTAATTTTCAGGTCATATGGCTGAAGCCTGAGTAACATCCTCTGTAGTCTGGCTGGTGCAGATATTAGATRCTTGAGGTGAATGCTTTCTAAGGGCTTATGGTTGGTATGTACTGTGAACGACCTWCCAAAAAGATATGTGTGGAAACGCTCGCAACCATATACGACTGCTAATAACTCTCTTTCAATATTAGCGTATCTTGCTTCGGTCTGGGTTAATGACTTGCTTGCAAAAGCGACTGGTTTGCCATCTTGCATTTCCTGAGACCAAGTACAATTCTGGCTGCGTAGTTTTGTACAAGTTGAAGCTTGTTCTTGTTAGCATTGGTGGTGTTGCTCCAGATTGTCGAACAGTAGAATAGTTGTGAAAAGACTAATGTTGAGATGGTCAAGATTAGTGTCTTGGTATCTAGTAGGTGTTTAACTCTATTTATCCGGGTGAGCTTGTAGAAGCTAAACTTTATTACAACATTAAATCAAAACGAGAGCGCGTATAAAATATCGCAGACACAATTTTTGAGACAAATATGTGAACAAAAGATTATCGCTTTAATTGAATTTTTCCGATAATTCTTTCAGACTTGGAGTTCGTTTTATACAGGCATGTAGTTTCAGATAAAGGGACTAATAACTCTAAAACATAATTTTAAATGCATTTCAAACACTTTTCGGCATAAACTACAGTTACTAAGGTTTCAGAAAATATATACTATGCGAGCATTTGCAAAACAACAAGGTTATAGTCGATGACGCGAATAGGGGTCGCGTGGGTACGCTGATACCTTAAATTACATACAAATTACTGTAAACTGCCGGAAGGGAGGAGGGAGGGGGTACTCGATCCCAACTTTGGTGGGGATGTGACGCACGACTGTCAAAACCCTTACCCTATTAAGACCATTTTTTGTGATTATACATACCCTACTTGCTATACGGGTATGTGCCACAGGATAGAGTCCCTTTTTCGGAGCTCCAAGTCTACGATAGGGTATCATTTTTTGCCCATTTGGGTTAGGGTAGTAGTTTTGTCTGCGATAGAGTAGTTGTTGTGATTTGTTAAGTTTGAAGTTAAGCTTTATTTAACTAAACCCAGTATACATGAATGAAAAGATGGCTGACTGAAAACGATGCACGAGGCACGGGCTGACATGCGCAATCATGRCATACATATATGACCGGAAATAACACACCGGAAGTAAAACTATAACATCCCCCTTACTAAAAAAAACACAACATGTTTACAATTATATATGAATAATAAAAAGCATAATTGGGGATGGAAGCAAAATGTCCTAAACAAGTCACGTTGTACAGTAAATGTATAGCAAACATGCTATAAGTTCAGTTTATCAGGTGGCTTCACTAGACGAGTGGATCTTCGGACAGGTGGAGTGGGTGTTGTTGTATCCTTGGGCTTGATAGGACTGCTTGGTGTAGGTTGCTCCTGTTWTATGTTAGGTTTGTTGTCCACTGCTAGATCGTCAGATGTCCGTGTTGACAACGCTGGAATATTAGGTTTGACTGTTTCACCAGTAGGACGTATGT